ACTTCGAACAATTAATCTTAGTTTTCCGCCGGCACGCGCTTCGCAGACAAAAATAAACGAAATGCAGACAGACAGACGAGCTATATTTGCAACCACATCATTCAACTGGCCGGATTGTTTGGTGTGCTCTGCGTTAAGCAAGATTTGTAGATCAAACATACATACATGGTTATTCACACGTTACTATGAAAGCTTGAAGTAACTGATAAGTTTTTAAAATAAGACTCCACTTTTACTATTTCATTTATAAATAAAGTAAATGGATTTATGTGTGGAAGGAAACCTGTCAACGATTCTCCTTTAGATGTCCAAGCTTTGGACCAAGATTTCACTTTGGAGTTTATGGCAGGTACCGGCCATACTAATGGCGTCGTCCGCCATAATTTTTATATTATTTTTATTGAACTACCGTACATAGTCATTTTTACTGGACATTGGCAAATCATCGATTATTTTGATGGGTTCATAACATTTAAAAGAACAAGAAGAAGATTTCATTTCGTTTCACGGTACATCAGATGTTTCGAATTGGTTTAAGTAAGCATCATTATCATCGTTCCTAACTACGCCAATAGCTCATTTTGTTTCTAAACCATATTTAGAAATGAACATCAATTGTTATTCATCATGCCAATCTCAGAGACTATGAACCTCTACGTCTTATCTCCTGACAAACCTTATTTGCCTCCTCCATCGCATCAGTCTCTTCATACACGCTCGTTTAATCTTTGGTACTTGTAACTTGACATTTTTTAAGGACATCCCTAATCTGATCGACATATGCACGTCGAGGTCTATCTCTCCCCATATTTTCATCTACATTTATAAATTTGTGCCATCAATTATGAAACCATCAAAGCATTGCTTTCTAATCCCCGAGGGTTTTAAGTTTCAAGCCTGTGTGTATGTGTCTGTCTGTGGCATCGTAACTCCCAAACGGCTGAATTGATCTCAAAGCGGTTTTTATTGTTTGAATGCTAATTTAATCGAAATGGTACTGATGGTTAGCTATGTGAACATCTGTTCTGCTATTTAAAGATTATCAGCTCTTCTCCCAGTTAGTGTTGGGATCTAAGCCATAAAATGAATATTTATTTTACTACCACTTCTTTAAGGGACTGGAAATTTGGCATATTATGGAAATCCGAGGACATTAAAATAATGATAATAATAATTTAGGCCTTGGGAGAGAAGAGAATCTAAAATATGTATCCAAAATAATAATAATCATCTTTATTGCCTCTTTACAAAGTTTTCTAAGAAAGTAATAGTCTTATAATAATACGGTAACCTTGATCAAATGTTGCAACCAGAACACTTTACAGACGACTCAACTTACCTATTTCTGCCGCCAAGTAGTAAGCAGTAGTGTACCAATTTTGAAGGGTAAGGGTGTTGGTGAAATTCAAGCTCATGGGATCTTTGCGATTTAAAGCTCTGAGTGGCACTGCAACTGTTAGGCTACTGGATAGGCGTGAAGCTTACCATCAGGTGCACGACTTGTGCGTCCCGTCATTTGATATTATAAAAACGATTATACATTTATATAATAAATGAGTGGTGTCATTTCACAAAATCAAATTATTAAATATCATTGTATCATGGTAGTAAAACATCGTTACAATCAATGAACTTCATATTACAACTACTCCAAGTACTTACTGTAGAACTATCGTGTTTGGGTTTAAATTTTATTGGGCTTAAATTGGTCTCAACGAGTTGTTAGGTAAGAACGCTTATGAAACTACAGCCACATGGAGACTTGTCAACTTTACGTCTCAGGGTGACGGACTCATAACTTTGTGATTTAAAGCTCTGAGCGGAACTGCAACTGTTATGGGTAGGTCTTAAGTTCCTATTTTCGAGTAAGTATTATCGATGCTTGATAAACATCCCTAAAGCTGTAATACCTACCAAAGTATACAAAGCGTTCTTGCCACTTGAAAATTTAGAGCTTCATGCTAAGTGAAGCTGCTGTTGAAACAAATGGATATGGAGAGAGACAATAAATAAACCATATACAGTCAGACGAGTTATATTTGCAGCTTCGCTCAACTGGTTAGGAGTACTCGAGTAAAGACTTGTACTTGAGGCGCGGTTCAGATCCTGAGATGCTATTATGTCGTAAAATTGGAATGAAGGTTGTAACCGTAAGTGAATGTTGTAAATAGCACTTATGGTTAGGTAGTAGCGTTGTATGACTTGTTAGCACAAGGTTGTGAATTCAATTCCCCGCCATATGTCTACGTATTATTTAAATAATTATTTCGAAAATCAGACTGGAATGCTGTAGTGCATGAACTTGTTTAGACGTCTCATTTCTTGGCACGGGTCTTGTCTTGGAAAATGGTCATGGTTAATTGTAGGAAGGATTTCTGGTACGCGAAACTGTTGGCTGTATGACGACATGGCTCCAGATTCCACGCAAATTTGATTCAAAGTGTATTTCACAGCATTTAAGTTTATTTGAAAAGAGCAATCCCTAGAGTTTCTTGCTCGTTCTTCTCAGAGAAGTCAGCGTATTGAACGAGCAGTAGCTTAAATGTAACGTTTTCAAGTGTCAATTTATTTTACCTATGGAATAAATGATTCATTGACTTTGACTTTGACAATCACACTAGTGACCTAGTCTCAAACTTGGGAATTTCTTACATAATGAGTACCCGAGCAACGGAATTCACTCCGGGGCATTAACCAGAAACAATTTAGAAAACCTAATTTCCCAAATTGATAATACCGGGAGTCGAACGCAAGACCTCCTCATTCAGCGCTTATAGTGCAAAACAGTTGGGCCACCGAGGTCGTTAATGAATCTGTAAGTTACTTAATTGTGCTGGACCGCATTGGCGCGATTTGGATTGAATACCTCACATTTCTTTGAAGGCGTAACTTTTTCCTTCACACACAATTTCAACCATAATTAAACATTCTTAAGTAATAAAACATTTGTTGTCTGTGAAGGCTGGAGCCTAAACTAGGATACCCTGTGCTATAGGTCTCCAGGCCTCCGCATACGGATAAAGTATCAAAAAAAACAACATTGACTGCGTCACGAATGATTGCTATGAGAGAAGTTAATCCAAAATTTATTTTATACAAATAAAAAAATTATAAATATAAATAAAAATCAAGACTAGAGGGCAAGTATTTTGTTGTGTGTGTGTGAGTGTGTGTTTGTGAGTTTGTGTGTGTGTGTGTGTGTGTTTGTGTGTGTGGGAATTAACTATAATGGAACATGAAGGAGGTTTTCGGTTTTACTACGGAACTAAGGAAGCCTTCTTCTCTGCGATAGGTTGGTATTTAACTCTTTCGCGTTTTTTATGATTGTTTTACGCGAAGTACGACTATGTTTGCTTCCATCAAAATTGAGAGACTTCAAACTTACGAGCCGATACAATCTCAAATGGTTGACTCCGCATAACAGTGAGAGTGTTGAATCAATCAATTTGGAAAAAATATATTGTAAAATTGGGAATATACACTAATTACTATACGGTGTCAAAACACGATTCCTAAATATTTTCCCGATAGAAGAAAAAAACACAAACTTACATCGAAATTTTACAAGAAGACCGCTGTATTCAATAGGTACGTTACATATACCAATGATTTTTTTATATCAACTAAAATAAATAGAACACGTATCGTACACTAGTACGGGAAAATATTTAATTCGAACTGATGTAGTATGGACTCTTAATAAAAGGAACCCACGATAACTAAATGTAAATAAATTCACGAAGCATATTAATATTGGATATTAAACTTTCTTTTACGGCAGGCGGACTCCGTAATCATGGGACCTGTAAGAGCACGAAACATTGATTCGTTTGTATGTGCCTATATATATATGTCACTTAGATCCGAAAAAAAATTGTTATATTTCTAATATGTAGCAATCGCGAAGACGTAATGACTCGAGAGAGCTTAATACACTTAAAAAAAAACTGCTATATTGGCCAAGCAAAGACTGGATATTTCTTTGCATTTCGCACCTGAGGTGTCGTATCCGAACCATTTTATTTTTATTATTACATTATTTTAGCAAGTAAATTAATTACTAACCAATACTTATAAAGTATTATATATACCTTTTGAGAGGTAGCTGAAAATCAGCGCGTCGTTTTTGCGACGGTTTTACGCAGAGCTGCGTCCTATGCGCCACGGCAGCACACATGATACATTTTTCTATTATAAGTTGATTTGATTTTGTACTTGTTGTTTATATAATGCTGTTTATGTTCGTTTTAAGTATTTACTTCATTGTAACAAACAACTGTATTTATATTTCGCGTAATGTGTGTTTTTCTGGCAAATAAACTATTTACCTATCTATAATAATCAAATTGAAAAGTTGTAAAATTTGCAAATAAACAAACACAGTCAACGTAAACTTTTTAATCGACTTCAAAAAAATAGGAGCTCAATTAGACTGTTTTTTTTTGTTTTTTTTATTGTTTCGCGATAACTCCGTCATTTGTGAACCGATTTTGGTGATATTTTTTTTTTGTTGGAAAGTGTTGTATTACCAGTAGCTCCACGTGGTATTCCACACTAGCGGGAATAAATGTAATAATTTAATGTCTTTGTTGTGGAAAGAGGGTACCTCAGTATTGGTCCCACTTACATTTGAAGAAATTATTCCACCTCTAAAGGTGGCAAACTAGGGGTGAATCTGCTTTCCGGTAACCGATTTCAATAAGACTTGCCAAATAAATGTAATCCTACGAACTTTTGAGGTCAATTTATTTTTTAAATAAAAAGTTACAATTATTTCTGTGTTTACTCCGCGGTTAGTTTGAGACCAAGCTTGATGAATTCTTGTTTTAACTATGGGCGCTGTTTTACAAAAGTACCGAATGCTCTCCCTGTTGTCTGCGACTAAGTCAATTCTTAATTTTTTTTTAAATACTATTTGGTAACGTATACCATCTAGTGAAAAGTAGGAATAACTAGAGCCACTAATCTTTCCTTCATTTCATTAAACTTTTTGTCTCCAGGTGCTCTAGTCGGTGGAATAATTGGAGGTATGACGATGCGTCTCGGGCGCCGAGCAGTTCTCCTAGCAGCAGCCCTTCCATACACGCTGACCTGGCTGACTACAGCGCTGGCGTCCAGCGTCAACATGCTGGCAGCTGTATCTTTCTGCGGAGGTGTTCTTTTGTGCTGTATTACTATGATTACTCAGGTAACTAAACCTTACTTATTAAAAGTACATACATATTAAGATTTCATGGTCAATATTTTAAAGTGTTAGAGATATAGTTTGTTTACTGGGTTTCAGTATATTTTTTTACTTGTTTATATGTACGTACGGTATTCGTTGAGTGTTATAGATTACCCGTCAAACATAAAGTGTCAACAACTTATCTGTCACGTGGCAAAAAACTAACGCTATCACGTTGAAAAATGTGAATTAAACTGTCAATTATTAAGGTTTACTGCCATTGCTACATAAACTTTAGTGATGTCACTAAATCCACTAGCTCATGTGATAATCGATGGTGTGATGAGCTAGTGGATTTAGTAAGTCATTGTGAACCGAGAATTGTCTCGGAGCTGTGGAGACAGACCGATCGCTCATTGTACGGATGCTGTTTGTAAAATAATCAGCAATAATGGGATTCTCAGGTGATCGCATTGTCACCTATAAGATCGTGGGATTGAACAGAATTTCCTACGCATTCGATTGTCGATTGTTGAAAATAGTAAACAATATCCAATTCCAATCTCGGTTCCTTGGAACAGCCAGTTTAAGACCGGTCTCCAAAAAAGCTAGCAGAAATAAATAACTGTGGACTGATGCAAATGGAAGAAGAAGAATCCTAAGTGGATAATCGTACCCTCGAGTATATGACCAGAAATAAAGACGAAATAAGAGCCACCCCATCCCTGGCAACTTATCAGGAAAATGGGCCTTATATCACTTTTAAATACCAACCTCGTTTGCACTGAAATCACAAATTAGACAGCTGAAATAGTACAGCGTCAACAACTGACCTGTGTGTACGTTTCCGTATATTCCAAAAATATTCTGTATTTATTGTAATAACGGTAATATCTCTAACCATAAACGGTTGTTCCATCCGGTGGTGTGGGAAAAGCAAAACATTTATTTGCAAGCTAATTACAAAACAAACGGAATCACATTTCATCGGCAATTAAATATTAACTTTTCAATTTTCGTCCATTATAGCAAAGCTCAAGTTAAACTGGTCGATTTGAAGTGCAACAATTGACGACACCCGTCAACTGTTTCGAATTCGCGCTGACCAATAGGAGCGCAGTTGTTACCGTAATGATATGGCAGAATAGTTTTCAAACAAATTAAATGGCCTTTCGTCTCTATTTCTTGTTATATACTCGATAGGTACTCTCTAATCGAGCCGAAAAACAGAAAAACAGTCCACCTGAAGAGAAATAGTAACCGTTGTCTGTAGACATGTTCTACTAAGAAATTATCTTTATCATCGCAAACGCATTACTAGTCCTGAAATATAAGATCTTAAACCTTCTGTGCCTGTGATTACCCTGACTCTCTCTATTTAACTGAGCTAACATAAAATAAACAATGTAGGTTCTAATCCTGTTCCTTGAGGTACTCTTAACTTACAGTTATTTTCCTTTTCTCAAAAAAAGTGACATGAAATTCTAGCAAACATCCGGCAAAAAAACTTGCACAAGCTAAATGCTTATCCAACTTATATGCCAGAGATAATAGTAATTACAGTTACTCGTAAAGTCTCAACAACCAGAGACACGGTCAGATAAAAAGACATTTTCGCACATGCATTTGAAGACAAAGCGTCGCGTCGTTAGAAATTTAATGCAAAAAAAACTGAAGCATTGTGTTATATGGTTAACGTGGTGGACGATTATTTCCACGTACTTGATGAGAACGTTGTCAGAGATCTATTAGATGGTTGGGATTATAAATATTTAGATACTACTTGTTAGTTTGTCACAAAAGGAGGATTACCGAGGACATTTCACAGATAGTTTCAGAATTAAACAATAAATTTTCGATCTCATATTTTATTTTATTCTTTATAGAATCATAATTTCAATTGGCTCTATAGGAGTACCTTTTTAGCCAATAAAAATGTTTAAACAATGTGGTAGTAGAGTATTGTTTTCTAAAATTATTTTTGGTATTTTATTCAAGACAACTTTATTGCTCGTAAGTATGTAAACTAACAATACATTCTTTGTCCACAGGTGTACGTTACAGAGATAGCCCTACCAGAAATCCGAGGATGCTTATCATCGGTTCTAAAGATCCTGAACTACATCGGCATACTAATATCGTACTCTGTAGGGGCCTACCTAAACTGGTATCACCTTGCCCTTGTCGTTGCTACGGCCCCAGTATTACTTTTTCTGGCGTTACTCTTTATACCCGAAACACCATCTTCTCTTCTTTTGAGGGGTAAAGAAGAGAAGGCAGCTGAAGCTTTACAATGGTTACGAGGGCCCGAAGCTGATATTCGTCAAGAACTAGCGACTATAAGAACAAATATATTGGCCAGTAAGCAGTATCATGACAGTAGGACGAGCAAAATTAAAGTTCTTTTCTCTAAGAGATTGACAAGGCCAGTTCTTATTACTTGTGGGTTGATGTTCTTTCAAAAATTTACTGGTGCTCATGTTTTTAGTTTTTATGCCGTGCCTTTGTTTAAAAAGACCTTTAAAATTATGAATCCGCACGGAGGTGCTATCGCCATCGGTGTTGTTCAATTATTAGCATCATGTCTATCTGGCATGTTAATTGATCACGTTGGAAGGCTACCTTTACTACTCGTTAGTGGAGTAATGATGTCCATGGCCTTGGCTGGATTTGGTTCCTATTTATATTATGATGATATTTTAAGAAGTCCAACAGATATTACTCAAGATGTTGGTTCATATGATTGGATTCCTTTGATCTGTGTATTGACTTTTACGATTGCATTTTCTTTAGGAATAAGTCCTATTGCGTCTTTGCTCATCGGGGAATTGTTTCCTTTAGACTACAGGAGCATAGGTAGTGCTTTAGCTACTAGCTTTGGTCACCTCTGTGGGTTTTTGAGTATAAAGACTAAAGCTGATTTTCAAAGTTTAATAGGGTTACACGGTTTGTTTTGGTTATATGCCGGAATATCAGTTCTCGGTCTATTGTTTGTTGTACTATTTGTACCGGAGACAAAAGGTAGGGAAATTGATGAAATGGACCCTCGGTATGTTGAGTCATTATGTATTAACCGATAGTATATAGTTAAGTATTTAGGTTTTAATAGAAATTTGCCTTTAATAGAAACATGTGTGATTAGTAAAGCATCAACGTTTGTCTTTGTAAGGGTATTGTCATAAACTATTATAATATCTGGAGTTAAAACATAGTATTGTTTTATAGGAAATAGTACAAATGTTTAAAACTGTTTTATAGTCAATGAATTTTTTTTTACAATTTAGTCTTGTATGTGCTGTATCGGCTTGCTAATTAGGTCTTCAAAGAGTTTGAGACCGGGCAACGCAATAACAAAACATCACACGCCAGTATTTCTTTCCATCAACTAAAATTCATTCAACCTGGTAAAATCTAGCGCGTCTAGCTGTGTTCACATTACTTAGTGTTGGTAGTAGGCTACAATTTCAGTATTTATTTCAAATCGAAGTAGCAACTTGAATAATGTTAATACTTTTTCATTTAATCTCTCATTCCGTAATTTTAGCTTGAAGGCAATTCCAGTTGAGGGCAGTAGTTTTCCATTTTCTTTTTAGAATAATGAGAACCAGTCCAGTATTATTTCTTTCCAGTGCTAGAGCGCGGAACAAGATTAGAACAGTTGTTCTTGTCGAGGATTTTCTCATACTTTGACAGGAATCATGTAAACGATTTACTGGAACCTATGGTCTGGATCACAGAACTTGAATGCATCAGTCATTTTAAGGCCTTTGTGGTTATTCATTTAACGATTGATGACTTCTAATCATCTCCCTATATTTGAATGATAACGACAAAATATAAATGGTTTGAATTTAGTTTCACGTGTAGGTAGATACGAAGTGTGCGGTGAATCGGGAAAAAAATTGTGACAATAAAGCTGCAAAAAGGCGAGACGAAAAAAGAGAGTAGACAAATTCTTCTTTTTCGTTGCACTCTTGACACAGCGGTTGTGATCACGGAATATGTTTGTTAGGGGCTGATGTACTCGCCATCTCTCTCTGTTAGTGGACTCTCTCTTCCACTCGTGCAAAGTTTTTTGTGTCGGTCCATCGCATGGGTCAATCCGCACAGTCTAGTGCCCTCGACTCTGCCTTGCATGATAATATGCTTTATGGAGTCAAAGCTCCGTCTTGAAGCTCAGTCTTGTTTCTTAAGAACTTCAGGATGTGAATTTGCATCACAGCAGACAGCTGCTAGATCCTTAAGGATTAGCTAGTTAACCCGTGACCATGTAGCGTGTAACCGCTCTGAAAAATCAGGAGAAGATTGACACTTTGGTAACAAGCCTGATACTAGCAATAATCCTTTGGTTAGTAGTTTCTGAGATATTTGAGGTAGTGTAGGAGGTGTAAATACAGCGCTGATGTTTTACTTTTATGATAGTTTTAACTAGACGGTGTCTTCCTTCAGTATTATTGTTGTTAGTATACTCGAGATTGCCTTTTGTGCCTTATTAGTATTCCTATTAAATATCAAGGTTAATAAATATATTTTGGTTTCACTTATAGGTTCGAAATGTACTTATTCGTAAAATATCACATGTAGATAAAAAAAAAGGCAGAGGACTTTCATGACCTGATCAAGTCTTACATTTCAAGTGTCGTGATCAGTTCAAGAAAAAAAAGCACAAACCTACGGTTTATTAAGATCACAATATATGTAGATAGGTAACCAGAGAGTTTGTTAATCTTGATATAATATCACAAGACTTTTTTCCTATTGTAGATAACGTAATGAAATTAAATTTTAACTCAGGTATATAACTGAGTAGTTTTCGAAGTAGATCTGAGAAAGCAATGTAATATAAAGTAAAATACGTAACTATGTTTTCGTTTTCAACGTACATTTGTGACGAAACTTGTTTTTGTAAAATATACGCGGTAAAAGAATTAAGTTTACAGGAATAAATATACTAGGGAGAGAAACGTGCGCAATTTTAGTTGATCGTCATAAGTGGAATACTTAAAAATATAATACTCAGATTGGCGCGCAGGTTGGGTCTATTTACGCGTGCTAAGAAACCTGTAAGATTTGTCCCTAGGCTAAAGACAAAACAGTTGGAAGATATAATTCTAACATACATCGTTTTGCAATTACAATTTTTTTTTTATCTTAAAATGTAAACTTATTTCTTTTGCCCCGTATATATTATTGTTTTGTTTTAAATTCGTCTTTGCTTTACGGGCTATATATATATATATATATATATATTTTGTGTCACAAAATAAGTTTAAGCAAGAAACATTTAAGCGTACGCCAAAAGAGGCTGCTGTATATTCTAAAAGACCTCTTGTTAGTACTTATTTCCTTGTCTTAGAGAGCTTAAGGTTGTTGACTGTTAAGGTTCAAATGCTGTAGAATTATCAAACCAACCATTTACATGGCTTAATATCACGTTAAAGACAAAAAGAAACTCATATTCACCAATCACTTGAGTTTATTGATGTGGCAATTACGCATTATTTAACGTGATATGATCATATTATTCCTCTCCTTATTTTCTGATGTATTTGATGTTTTTGTCGAAACTACGTACGGGAGTCATCTTACCGACGCGGAATCGTCTAGAGCCGTTCAGGAAAAGCTATATATCTAAGCTATAAGAGCGAAAAAGGTGTGCTTTGTGTTTCGTTGTTTCGCTTTCGTCTTTTTTGATGCAAAGACACTTTTTTGTCTGGCTCAAGCCGTTTTCTCATCGATAAGTGAGATGACTCCCTAAAGGCCACCATTTACGGATCAATTTGACTTAACGATTATCGTAACGATCAATCGAAACTTGGAATCGTCTGTATATTGGAGGCCTTAAGACGTACGATCTTCCTCAGTTTTCTAGCAAACATTCTCCACTCCGTATGTCCATTTTTTTTTACATATTAACATAACTTATTGATAGTACAAAATTGATGCAAGCTACAAATCTTAATGTGATTCGCTAAACTGAAAACTCACTACACTGAAGAATTGTTTAGCGACAGTTAGTCAGGAGAATACGTGCCCTTAATAATAAAGTAACGAAATTTGAGATAGTACCATTATTGGGACAATGACAAAATTGATTAAAAAATATCCATTTGGCTGGTGTAAATTATGCCTAAATTCCATATGAAAAAAGAATGAGATGAAAGAGCGTCAACTTAAATATGAATAAATAAAAAGTTCAAATGCGTATTTACAAACAACGTAAAACAACTGTTATTTGTGTTTTTGTCACCCACTTCATAGATGCCATTTTGGATGTAATTATGCAAATAAAAACGCAATTAAGTAAATTCGTCAATAACAGACGTAAATAACGCTATGTTTTTTTATACCACATATCTGACACCTAATAATGAAGTAGTATAACTCGAAAAGGAAGGTTTAGGAAACTGACAATATACCATTTGGCTGGTGCAAAAAATAATACAATTCCAATGGATGTTAAGTGCAATATTGATTTAATTTCGTATTTTTTTTATTTGTTAGCCTACCAAAAATTTAATTTTTCAAATTACGGCATTTTATTGTTGAGAGTTCGATATGTACGTACTTGAGGCAAAAATACTTACTGTTATCCTTCTCCTAACTATATACTCATAGATATTTCAGAGGAGAGTTAAAAAGGTTGAATTACGATAACAACATTTATATGAATCACTGGCCACATATACGAGACGTTTAACCGAAATCAAAAGACGATTGACGTCATTCTTTTTTCAAATTAAACGTTCTGTTATATGTGGCCAGTGGCTCATATCAACATTGTTATCACAATTTAACCTCTTTTCAGCGATCCTCTAAATATGTCCATGAGTGTATTCCATAAATAAGGTTGATCAAAGACGATTCGTGGAAAATGTTTTGAAATCTGAATAAAACCATACATTACGCGATGACAAAAGGAATAACCACACTTATTTAGCAAACCGATTGGTTTGAGCCGACCCAAAAAAGGTTTATTTATGTCCATGCATGAAACGAAAACGACAGCGCGTTAGACTTTAGCAATACGCATTTATATGCGTATTGTCCCAATAATGGTAATATCTCAAATTTCGTTATTTTATTATTGAGGGCACGAATACTCCTGACTAATTGTCGCTAAGCAATTCTTCAGTGTAGTGAGTTTTCTGTTTAGCGAATCACATTAAGATTTGTGTGTTGTGTGCTTACGAGTCTATACAACTTCAAATTGAGGATATAGGCACTGATTAGTATCATATAGGATTTATATGGATAACTTACCTCGAAATTTTACAAGAATGTATCTAATAAGTGCTTTACATATACCAATTGTTTTTTTTTATGTCAACTGAATTAAAGAGAACACGTATGGTGTACCTACAATATACATTTTCAAATGGCTTTTATTTAAAGAAAAAACAAACTCTGAAATAAAGTCAGTGTCCCTACCGCTCTCGACCCGCGCAATAGAACCGATTCAGTACAAGAAAAAATTAACCAGAGGTAACTCTTAAAGCAGTTTTGTGTCTGTAAATGTGTTAATTAAAAACAAATCAGATGTTGGAGTTAATAAGGTGACGGACAATAATTGTAAAATAATATGTAAAAAATAATTTGTAGACTCTTCAAACCTGTCTCCTGAAAAGTTGTCATTTTACAGATGTAACCTTATTACACTAAGTGTGCGATATGTTATTTAAACAAATATAATTATATATTTTTTATTCGCCAATTTGGATAGTGGTTGTATTGTTTTGTAATTGTTGCAATGCACAAAAATATGTAACAAAAAGTAATTTCTGGTGCTAAAATGGTGTCTTGCATTTTCTAAAATATACAAAAATATATATTATTTGTAGACAAATGTTCTTACTTAGTGATTGTTGTAAATAAAAACAGTATTAAGTTTTGTACATAGCTTTATACACTTATTATATATGATAATGTAGTTAAAATTGTGACATGTTACAAAATGAAAATATGTTGCCATAAATTAGTGTAATAATTAAAAAATAATATTTTTTATCATTATTGTGTTAAATTTGTACTTAAAATTTTCGAATTTAAGGTGTTTCAAAATAAAATGTGAAAGATTATTTTCCTGTTTATTATTTACCACGCCATAACAATTAAATGTTGGAAATTACTATATCCGAAGGATTGCTGAACGTTAGCATAAATAAATGTTAGCACAACCAAATATTATCCGTCCAGGACACCGATTCAGAACTCTTCGATATTTGAACCGAATCTTTCGATTGGATATCGTTCTCGAATCGAATGCGCTTCTAATTTTTTATTTTTTTTTTATTTTATTTCAATGGTACACATTACAGAAAACAGATTAACGGCATTTTTTTTAAAAACAAAAATAAGTCTAATAATGATGAATCTGCATTCCAGTTATAATTGTACACAACATTCTAAAATAACCGGTAGTGCGATTATGAAAAAATTGAAAAATAAGGATTAATTAAAAACTAGGAACAAAATGCAATTAAAAACTAGGAACAAAATGCTTAAATTAGTAACAATATTTAGAGTTCAATAATCAATAACGGCAACTGAATTTTTAAATGCGGGAAGACTGTCGTGAAATATGTCAATATCAGAAGCTCCGATTTGATTGTAAGATGTACACATTCGATGAATAGGGCTGTTTGCAGAAACGTTATTGTTACTCAAAACTTGTGTAACAAATAACCGTGGTCGTCTATCATATAAATCAGGGGGTCTACTCTCGATCTCCGTCCGAAACAATTACTGCCAAATAAGCAATAGTTGACCAAATGAAAAGACGCGTGATGCGAATGAAGCTTCATACTGGATACTTGTCCTTTAATTTTGTCGAATATTACTTATTTGACAGTAAATGTTTCGGACGGATGTCGGACGAAGATCGGAAGTAGCCCCCCAGAACATTCCGAGTTAAACCTTATATTCGGATACGATATCGTTATCCAATAGCGTTAGTCGGTGAAATAGATCTGAAAAATGAAAATCTCGTTAGATACATTTTTAAGACTTTAAAGGCCTAAAATATAGGAATGCATTAGTAAATAAATTAATAAAATTGAACAAAATCCAGACTTTAAACAATAAGAGATTTCCATATTACGTTCTCGCTTTGTAAACAATAGGACGTTCGGTAAGTTTCATTCTATAACTGTCTTCTGAATAACGTTTGTAGCCTTTGCCGGTCGAGAAGTTCGAGTTCGTATGGGTGTGACGTCTGTGACGACAGTTTGACGTTCGACTCGGGTGTTGTGAATAAAAATTAAATGAAATCGGTCGACAACTGAGTTATCGTAAGGTTCTGAATCTACCCCCAGATGATACTGGCTCAACTGATGATTTTGCCTCATATTCCGATAAAAGTGAATAAAAATGTAAACTAAAAAAAAAATATTAAAAAAGTAAAAAAAAAAATAGGAAAAAAAAATACAGTCTAATTGAGAACCTCCTAATTTTTTGAAGTCTGTTAAAAACGTATACAGTTCCCCATAAAAGGATCGTTAACTTTAGCAAGACTGTCCTGTCAACAACGTAGGGTATAAAGATGCCACGCATCGACATAAATGCTCTATGGCATAAACTAATACCGTGACATTGGTTTATTCTTCAACAAAGCAGAGCTACGTAACACAACAATATAATAAAACTTATGTATAGGATGACGCAAGTCCATTGTGATAACGTTATGCTCCGTGCACTTGAATGCGTGTAATTCGTTGTACGGTCTTCAATATTCACGTTCCACTGCTGAGTCCTCAATCTCAAATAGGTAATCTTTATTTCATAGGTAGGCAGATTCATTCAAACTCTTTCCTAAGGCAGATTACCCAGAGAAGAATAAGTAAGAAATCTTTATAAATAAAAATTCGTAAACCTCTACATTTACGACATAAAATATTTATTTCAAACTTAAATCTATTAGGACCAATGATTTTTGTCATCTGTATTTTTTTATAATACCAAATGACGGGATGAACAAGTCGTGCGCCTGGTGGTAAGCCACATGCATGTCCATAACAGTTGCAGTGACACTCAGATCTTTAAATCTGCCACTGTGCGTGCTGGTGAAATTACAGGCACATGGGACTTGTCAACAAATGCCTCAGGGTGACGGGTGCAGTGGCATTGTCCCTCAGATTTTTACTATTTAAAGCTCTGAGTGGCACTGCAACTGTTATGGACAGGCGTGTATAGCTTACCTACCATCAGGCTTGTTCATCCCAGTGATATTATTAAAAAAACCGGAACGCAGTAATGTTTACACTCTAACTGCTCCTCTTTTTATATATAAATAATAGACACACGCTCGGCCACAATCTCACCTGACGTTAAGCGACGATGTGACCGACGAACGGTCGCCTTTGCCTAAAAAATGCCTAATCGCTATAGAATAGCCCTAAAATGTACTTTTCGGGAAATACAGATCAGTATTTCCCGTAGAGCATTCTATTCCTTTGCCGTACGCATCAGAAAGGAGGAAGCAAAGCGCTTAGTGCGAATAGGTGGAATATCAACGACACAAGAATGGAGTGCTCCGTACCTTCTTGTCGACCGAAGGAGGAACGGTGAGGGTGGAACCCAATTAAAAAGTTCCTGCGCACCTTCCCCGAAATTTATCCGATAGAAAACCAAAAAAATTGCTACTACTGCTGATAAATAACCTTTAGTGTTCTGTTTTTCTGTAGTTTTAATCCTGGTCAATGGTATATTTTGAATATGAACCGGAATCTTATTATAGAAGCGTACACATTGCCACTTAAATGAATTTGTGAGTACCTACGTCCGCTACACAAGCCATTGGGCGCGCGTATCGATGCGTTTAAAGACTTGTTCAATCATCCTATTAGGTATAATCTAACCAGGATTTTAAAAGCGAGCAGTCGACGATTAGAATCCTTATGGCGGCATAGCCATATCTATGACTTTAAGGTGAAGTGAAAACTAAAA